AGCTTTCGTGGGTGAATGCCCACTTCATGAGATGCAAGTCTTGATAGTTTCCCCATGGACGCAGATAGTTTCTGTGTCCCTGCAGGGTACAATGGGCTCTGAGAGTCTTGAATAGAGTAGCCAGTCTCCAAAGTACCCTAGTTCCTTAAAATAGTTCAAGATTAGGGAATGGACCCTAAACTGGAGCAAGGGTGAGCGGGAAGCCAACTGAGTGCACAAAGCTCTGACGTGATATGTTCTCCATAGCTAGTCCATCCCCAGAGGCTGTCTGCCACGCATTGCACAAAGTGGCGTTTCTAGTTAACTTTGATAGACACAGACAGTCCTGGGGAAAGGAAGTTACTCTAGTCCAGTCAGAACACAGTAAACCCACGGAGTGATTAGGTCTGTATCAGTGGGCGTGGTCCCCTGGTTAGCTGGATTTGGAAGAAGGCACCATTTCAGTCTGGTTTCCATGGACTAGGGCTAAGTCTAGTGATACGTGGAGGCCTCTTAAGGCAGATGATTTAAGAGTATGGTCAAAGTCTTGATTAAACTCCTTGAAGTGTTTCCCTGTTCCTCACTTCTGTTTTGCCTGGGACACAGTATATGATGACATAGATTGCGCCTTCGGAGAAAGAGATGGAAAGTTGTGTGTAATTATAGTGCGGGGGCATGATAGCATAATAATTTCTTTCCTAGTGTCTCCTATACTACATATGTTTAAAAAAGAGAGAGGTGATATGATTGCTCCCTGTACAGCTGCACATGTGAGAGCTTGAGGGCTAGGAGCTGCTACCCATCACTACTCTCTGGGATCTGCTAGAGAGGAATGAAGAAAGCCACACTGGAGGCTGTCTTGTAGTAAACATGTGTGTGTAAACCTAATACAGTTTATAAAGACTGGCAGTAACTTGTAGAAAAACATCCTAATAAAACATTGGCACCATGTTAACAAATGAGTTACAATATGCTTCTCTATGCAATTCAGTTACTTTACATAAACATTAGCAAATAATTATTCCCTCTGTATAGCACATTTAAGGTGATTTGTCTTCATGACAGGCAGGAAGAAACAAAAAAATGCCAAGATATTTACACAGATTGCTCCAGAAATATTAAGAACTGTTAGTTCTTAAATGTTCCAGGTTTGCTAAATGTTACACTTGTGCAATATGGGTCTAAAATGCTGCCATTTAGCACTTGGTTTGTATAGGTATAAATGTTGAGGGTACGATAGGGGCAAAGGTGGTGGAGAATCAGGGCTTTGGGACCTAATTTTACCTTTAGACTTGAATCCAAAACTCGTATTGACTTTATCTATGTGAGGACAGAACATTGCCTCTCTGTTTGGTTTTGCTGTGGTGCAGTAGTGGCTGAGACTAGATAGTTGAGAGAGAAATCAGTTAATTCATGTGAACCATTAATTCATCATAGTCTTTATTTATACTGAAAGATCTTTAGCTATGGTGAAGATCACACCAAGCAAGTCGGAGTTAATTAATCATTTAATTTGCATTAATAGCTTACACTTTGTTTTTAGTTTGGAAGGCAGGAAGGATATAATAGAGTTGTCAATGGTGATAGCCAAGGGATGCGATGGACAGAGATTAGGAGTTCACCCCTTCTGTGGATACTGCTAAAGCATCCCTGACCTTGAACAACTTTTCTTCCTGTGGCTTATAAATATTTCTAAAGAGCTTAACTTCTTGCCTTTGGAATGCCCAAGATCAGTGTTTCTCAAACTGAGGTCGCCGCTCGTGTAGGGAAAGCCCCTGGTGGGCCGGGCCAATTTGTTTACCAAGAATTAACCCGTCCGCAGGTCAGGCCGATCGCGGCTCCCACTGGCTGCGGTTCGCAGCTCCAGGCCAATGGGGTCTGCTGGAAGCAGCGGCCAGTAAGTCCCTTGGCCTGCGCCGCTTCCAGCAGCCCCCATTGGCCGGGACCCGCAATCGGATGGGGCAGGTAAACAAACTGGCCCGGCCCGTCAGGGGCTTTCCCTACACAAGCGGCGACCCCAGTTTGAGAAACACTGCGCTAGCAACAGAGAGTCCTGTGGCACCTTTAAGACTAACAGAAGTATTGGGAGCATAAGCTTTCATGGGTAAGAACCTCACTTCTTCAGATGCAAGTAATGGAAATTTCCAGAGGCAGGTATAAATCAGTCTTGAGATAACGAGGTTAGCAGTTGAGGTGTGAACACCAAGGGAGGAGAAACTGCTTCTGTAGTTGGATAGCCATTCACAGTCTTTGTTTAATCCTGATCTGATGGTGTCAAATTTGCAAATGAACTGGAGCTCAGCAGTTTCTCTTTGGCGTCTGGTCCTGAAGTTTTTTTGCTGTAAGATGGCTACCTTTACATCTGCTATTGTGTGGCCAGGGAGGTTGAAGTGTTCTCCTACAGGTTTTTGTATATTGC